GTTAAAAAGAAAGATAACAGCCTTCGATTCTGCGTCGACTATCGGAAACTCAACAGTGCAACGAAACAGGATGTATACCCTCTGTCGCGTATTGCTGATACACTCGATCGACTACGGAGTGCGAAATACTTATCCTCCCTTGATCTCAAGAGCGGATATTGGCAAATTGAGGTGGATGAGCGCGACCGTGAAAAGACGGCATTCATAACCCCAGACGGCCTCTACGAATTTAAAGCGCTAACATTTGGCCTGTGCACAGCGCCAGCGACGTTTCAGAGAATGATGGACGCTGTCCTCGCGAGACTGAAATGGCAGTCCTGCTTGGTGTACTTGGATGACGTTGTCGTATTTTCCGCTACATTCGACCAACATCTAGAGCGACTCCGCACAGTATTAGAAGCCATTCATTCAGCAGACTGACCATCACGCCAGAAAAATACCACTTCACTTTTGAAGAGCTTCGGTTCTTCGGACACGTCGTCAGCTCCGACGGCGTTCGGCAGATCCCGAAAAGACAGCTGCCATCGCGAAGTTCCCGACACCCAAAAACAAGAAGTGAGTCCATCGCTTACTGGGTTTGAGAGCGTACTATCGGCGATTTGTGAAAAATTTTTCGAACACTGCTGAACCACTTACTAATCTAACAAAAGACGAGGTGCCCTTTATGTGGGAAAGTGAACAACAGGAAGCATTTGATGAGTTAAGAACATGCCTGCAAACGTCTCCAATCCTCGCCCACTTCGATGAGACTGCCGAAACTGAAGTTCACACCGATGCGAGTAACGTCGGCCTCGGAGCCATTCTAGTCCAGCGGCAAAACGGCCAAGAAAAAGTGCTAGCGTATGCCAGCCGCAAGCTTTCGAAAGCTCGGACAATTTACTCTACAACCGAAAAAGAGCGTCTCGCGGTCATCTGGGCCATAAGTAAATTTTGGCCGTACCTCTACGGTAGACCATTCCGAGCAGTCAGTGACCACCATTGCTTGTGTTGCCTGGTGAATCTTAAGGATCCCTCTGGCCGACTAGCAAGATGAAGCCTTAGGCTATAAGAGTACGATGTTACTGTGGTATACAAATCTGGGAAAAAGCACAGCGATGCTGACTGCCTGTCGCGCACTACCCTACTGAAACGTTCCGTATGCGAGTCCAATAATTCCATATGTTTCCATAAAGAATGCATATGTTTCCCATATATTTTTTCATATATTTCCGTAAGTTTCTTACGGAAACATACGGAATTATTGGACATCGCATACGGAACGTTTCAGTAGGGTAGTGGAGACGAGTGAGCCGCACCAAGAAGACTTCCCGTTTCTAGGCGTCGTCCAGGCATTAGAAATCGCTCAACAACGACAAAATGACCCTGATTTGCTGCCGCTTATACAGCGTTTCCAAGGACTCAACGTAAAAGTTCCGCGGACTTTATTCAGAGGGCTCCCTTCGTTCTGTCTTCGAGATGGGGTCCTTTACAAGAGGAACTTCAAGCCTCGTGGTGACAAGTTTTTACTCGTTGTACCTGCACCTTTACGAAACGAGATTCTGCACGCATGTCATGATGAGCCAACATCTGGACACATGGGTCAGCCGTACATTCGCCAGAATTCACCTAAAATACTACTGGCCAAAACTGTTATCATCAGTTCAGCGCTATGTGAAAACTTGCCGTGAGTGTCAAAGACGCAAAACTCCATCCGTGAAACCAGCAGGCCTCCTCCAGCCAATAGAACTGCCGGATGCCCCATTCCAACAAGTCGGTATGAATCTGCTAGGCCCGTCTCCGACATCGACTGCAGTCAAGAAGTAGATAGTCGCAGCTGCGAACTATCTCACCCGTCACCCTGAGACTGACTCATTGTACGGTGCAACATCTCTTGAAGTTGCCAAGTTCTATATCAACAACATAGTCCTCAGGCATGGTGCTCCCAGCGTCGTAATTACAGATCGTGGCACAGCTTTTACTGCATACCTACTGAAATGTCTGATGTGAATGACCCATTCAGACCAGAAAAGAACAACAGCACACCATCCTCAAACAAATGGCCTAACGGAGCGCCTGAACAAAACTCTGACTGATATGTTTTCAATGTATGTCGACGTCGAACATAAACTGTGGGATGAAATATTGCCCTACATCACATTCGCATATAGTACAGCCGTTCAAGAAACAACGTGAGTGACACCATTTGAACTTGTATTCGGCCGAACAGCCACCACTACACTGGATGCCATGTTACCACTGAATGATGAAAGCACCAATCCACCTGGCCTAGACGACTTCCTGCAAAGAGCCGAGGAAGCACGACAGATGGCGAGATACAGAATACGCCGCCAACAGCGCGTCGACTCCTATCGGTACAATCAGCGTCGTACCGAAACGCATTTTCGACCAGGTGACAAAGTATGGATATGGACCCCAGTGTGTCGCCGTGGACTTTCTGAAAAACTTTTTAGCTGCTACTTAGGGCCTTACGAAGTACTCCATCGTGTAAGCGATGTAACTTACCAAGTCAGAGCCGCTATACACGGGAGCTCAAAACGCCGCAACCCTACATAGGTTGTACATGTAGTCCGGATGAAGCCTTACCATGAAAGATCACCGGAAGACCAGTGACGCCTACCACAGATCTATTCATTGCCTGACGCATCGGGACGATGCGTATGAGGAGGGCGATTAAGCCGCGACATAATGCCTGCATTCAAACAACGCGCCCATCACCGCGCGCACGGATGGATGGATGGATGGATGGATGGATGTGGCTGTACCCTTTAGATCGGCCGGCGGCTAACGCCACCTAGCCGTAATACTTAGTGAACTAACCATTACATTTATCTTTTTTTTCCCCTTTAAATAATGAAGTTGAGGATTCGTAATTCACAGTGAAGGGTTTAATTTTCACTCGTGCCTTGACTTTAGCCACCAATCAGATAACCTCCTTCTAGTTAAGTCTACCCGCTTAAAGTCTATTTTGCCCTCGCTGTCCCTAAATCCCAGTGCTTTGAAAAACTCTGTGCCATCATCCTGAACTATAGGGTGAAGCCCTTTACAGAACATTATCAAGTGTTCGGCAGTTTCTTCTTCCTCTCCACACGCACTGCATACTGTGTCGACCCCTTCGTATTTGGCCCGATATGTCTTGGTTCGCAGTACTCCCGTCCTGGCCTCAAACAGTAGAGAACTACCCCGAGTATTATCATAGATCCTTTCCTTGGCAATTTCCTGCTTAAAAGTTCGATAGATCTCTAGTGCGGGCTTCTTAATCATGCCCATTCTCCACATGTCAGTCTCCGTTTCCTTCACTTTTTTCTTAACCGATAGTTCTTTTTGGTTTGGCCACCTGCTGTTTTCTAAGTATTTACTAGTCAACTTCCTGGTTCGCTTCCTCCATTTTGTATCGACATTCTTCATGTACAAGTAGCTGAAAACCTTCCTAGCCCAACGCTCTTCCCCCATTTCTCTCAATCGCTTCTCAAATTTTATCTTGCTGCTAGCTTCCCTGCCCTCAAATGATGTCCATCCCATATCACCTTGTACTCCCTGATTTGGTGTATTCCCGTGAGCTCCTAAAGCAAGCCTACCTATTCCACGTTGCTTAATTTCTAATCTTGCTTGAACTTCTGATCTCATGCACAAGACCGCATTGCTGAACGTCAGCGCAGGAACCATGACCCCTTTCCATATTACTCTCACAACATCATACCTATTGTAATTCCACAGTGCCCTATTTTTCATGACTGCTGCATTCCTGTTACCTTTAGTCGTCACGTATATTTCGTGTTCCCTCAGATACTCGGTCCCATTGCTTATCCATACACCCAGATATTTGTATTTATCCGTTATCTCTAGCGTGACCTCCTGTATTCTAAGCTCACTACCTTCGTTGTCATTGAAAATCATGACTGCTGATTTTTCCCTACTGAATCTAAAATCTAACCTATCTCCCTCATTACCGCAGATGTCCATCAATCTCTGCAAATCTTCCTTGTTGTTGGCCATTAGCACTATATCATCTGCGTACATTAATGCTGGTAGTGCCTGATCAATAAGTTTTCCTTGTTTGACTAAAGAGAGGTTGAAGCCCAGTCCACTTCCCTCTAATTTTGCCTCTAATCCTTGTAGGTACATCATGAATAATAAGGGTGACAGGGGGCACCCCTGCCTAAGCCCCCGTTTTACCTCTGCAGGCTTGGATACCTGTTTTTCCCACTTTATAACTACCTTGTTACCCTTATAGACACCCTTTAAAAGATTAGTGACTACATGTTCCACGCCTAGTGTGTCCAGTATTCCCCACAATTCCTCTTGAACCACGCTATCGTACGCTCCCTTGATATCCAAAAATGCTAGCCACAGGGGCCTGTGTTCTTTTTCTGCTATTTCGATGCACTGCGTCAGTGAGAACAGATTGTCTTCCAACCTCCTGTGTTTCCGGAACCCATTCTGCAGTTCCCCCAGCACCCCCTCATCCTCTATCCATGCCTGCAGTCTTTCCTTTATAATCTGCATCGCCAGCCTGTAGACCACTGATGTCACTGTTATAGGACGCACAGGGACATACATGCGCGCCGTCTAGTGTTGTGCAGAGACGATGATGATAGCACGAGAACCCAGCTGGCCCCGGCTGATGTGCGCCACGCGCTTGGGACTCCTTTTGAAGAAGTAGAAGAAGGAGACATTTTTGGTGTTCTGCTGTAACGTGCTACGACCATAGTCCCTTTGAGTTGTGGGCACAGGTTCGCACTTTAATAAATACGTTTTATTACACCCTGAGTCCTTCAACATAGTTACAATATGTTAACAGTGACAGTAAAGCCCAAACTTCATAAGCGCGAAAATGCACGCGACAGCGACGAGCGACGCTATGAGCGACGAAACAGGGCGTTCGCGCGACGTGTCGCGTGCTCGTTTTCGCGCGATCGCTCGGTTCTCCAGATTTGGAAACTGTCGCTCATCGCCCGGAAGTGCTGGGCTCAAGCCACGACCTCCTCTATAAACTTACGACCTGCTCATGCCGCCGCTCCCCGTGTCGCCGGTTTTGCTTTTGCTTGTTTAGTTTTTTTTAGTTCTCGAAAGTGCCGCAGCACGCCTTGGCGCCACAACTAACCCCCACTGCTGCAGCCGCCAAGCCGCTGTTCTGCTTGGTGCGTGCGTGCGTTCGCATGATCTTGTGGCACTCGAAGGCTATCGCCGCTATCGCTTGTCACCAGTAGTCTGCGCAGTCAGGAGCGTTAGATAACGACAGCAGCAGCACCATTCCCGCAATGGTGTACTGCTGCGTTCCTTTTTGCAAGTCGAGCGATCGGCGGTCAACTGGGATATCGTTTCACGAGTTCCCCGTCACCCAGATTCGACAGGAGTGGTTGAAGAAGATCTCTCGACAGGCTGAAGGTAAGGCACCGAAAGTGCTGCATTGCATGCACTGCAAGATCTGACTAGTTGAATGCAGTTCAGAACTTTTTTGCGCGCTATGTATGCTGCTCAGCGTTGTTGGCTGGCGTCTAGAAACACAAGTGCTGTTTGTGGGATTCGTGGACGCCGATCGTGTACACAGCCCATCAGGACCTCAGCCAGGGAAAGGGGTGGGGGGTGGGGCACGTAATTCTGTTGAACTATGTGTTTTTACCAAAAATAAATAATAAAAATAGACGTTTTTCTCAAATAGTCAAGGATTTCCGCAAGTGCCCCCCGCCACGAAAAAATTTCCTGGCTAAGGGGCTGCAGCCCATGCTACATTTTTCCTTTGTTGTACTGTCCTTTGTTGCCGCAAGACTCCGTGCACGTGGCCGTGTCAGGGATAGAGCACTTACTTTCAACTATTCCGCTCTGATGCACAGCGGTGTTGCTTTGTTGAGAAATTTGTTTCATTTATTACACTATTGTTTTGCGCTGGCGTTGTTTTATAACAAAATTAAGGGAAATAGGCGCAAATGGATCTGCCCTGAACTGATGCAGCTGCTAGTAAATTGAAATGGTAAGGGATTCAACTAGTGAATACACTAGAGATCCTTTTCTGTCACGTTGTGAAGGTTACTAAAAGGCTAATTCTTAATCGATTGCCTACTATCTGATAATTCTGGTGCGGTCTTAAGTACAATATTTGTAGGACCAGGAAAACAGCCATGGGAGCCGAGCGACCGCAGCAAGGTATGCAGCTTGCATTTCAAGCCAGAAGATTACAGAGAAGGCCTGAAGCTGCGCAAACTAAAACCAGATGCCATACCTTCAATATTCCCGAGCTACCCAGGGTATATGCAGGAACCATCCCGAAAAGAGCGACAGCCTGTGAAAAGGTGTGCTGTGCCAGGGCTGTCACCAGACAAGCCTCATGCAGAAGCAAAGAAAAATAGGTAAGCCTTTTTGTGTAATTAGTGTTTGTTTAGCCACGCCCAAATTTCTTCTAATACATGTTTCATCCTGTAACACGTCGAAATTCTTAATGTTGCAGGCCAGACATACCCTCTCCTTATAGGTCCCCGTCTGAGAAGATTGATGAGCAGGAAGACAATTGTGTGGCTGGCAGCAGTACCGCACATCAGGAGGATGAAATGCTGACAGAACTCTGCAGTGAACCCTCCTCTCTGCCTTTAATTTTGCCTGCACCTGAATCTTCTTTCTGCTTGCCTAAAACATATCAGATGCCCAAACATGGCAAAACTGTCCAGTGCCAGACAAGCCCATCAAAGGCAACCAGACCACGTGGAATGCAGACAAGGCTTTCACTGTCCCGAATGACCAATCTCCTGAGGAAAGTGCAAAACCTTACCCGGGAGTGTCAAAGGCTTCAGAAAAAGCAGCATCACCTACAGGAAGAGCTCTCCACTCTGAGGCAGGAGGCAAAAAAGGCGTCCTTGTTGATGAAGAGAACAAACGTCGAAATCCTCCAGGTGTGAACTTATCTCTTTTTGAACATTAAAAAAAATCTCATTACCTGCTTATATCATACTTGCAGCAAAAGGTGGAGGAGAGCAACGAAAAAGCTCTGTTCCTTCAAGAGCAGCTTGCTTTTCTGGGCAAAAAGAAAGGGCTATGGCGTGAGGAGACAGTGCGCAAATGCGTTCTTTTGCACGCTAAATCACCAGCCGGGTACCGCCTTCTTCGGGAGATTGGTGTCTTGACCTAGCCGAGTCGCTGTACCCTCAAGCGATACATTGGCGCATGCACTGGAGAGGTGGTGTCCTCTCTCATCAAGCAGCGCCTTCATGCAGAAGTGAAACTGCACTCTAAGGAGGTACTTTATTTACTCTTCGCCTTTACTTTTTTGCCAGGAGTAAAATTACTGGAGCTATGTTCTTTGCGATTATTGCAGGCACACTGTGGGTCCCTGGTGATGGACGAAATGTCACTAAAGCAATCTGCACTGTACCATAAACAGTCCGATGCTCTCCATGGATTTGTCGACCTAGGAGGTGCCGAGGTAGACTATGGCCTGGAGGAGCAACTGGCAACTCACCTACTCTGATTCGTCTTTGTAGGACTGTCTACCCACTACAGGTATGTGAAATATTTGGCTACTCTCCGTTCATGTCATGTGAACCTGTGCAGATAATTTTTTTTCCAATCCTTCAAATGATTACCATGTCCTTTACCTAATGCCTAGTGCTTTTACAATACAGGCTGCCAGTAAGATATTATTTTACAAAAGGATTGACAGGGGAGCAACTCGAGCAACTTTCGTTGAAAGTAATGCAATCAGTTGAAGATGCTGGGTTTGAAGTGGTTAGGTTGGTTGCTGACAACCACAGCACTAACTGCAAGTTTTTTGCCAGCTTGTCTGGTGGCAAAATATGCCCTGTTGTCACGTGAGTAATTGCTCAGTCACATTTTTGTTAAAGGTTACACCTCCTTTAATTGTGCATAAATTTATGAGCTATTAGAGTGTTGAAGCAAATGTGTCCTGTCAACATTTTCACAGACTCCTAACAGTATTCACTGATCCTTTACAGGCACCCTCTCGAACCAGACAGGCAACTGTTCCTGTCGTTTGACTATTGTCATATCATAAAAAATGCCAGGAATCAGTTCCTCGACACTAAAAGGATTTTCAGGAATGCTGGAGTGCTCATCGTTCCAGACTACCTGAGGTACAATTTGGTAGCTTTTTCATGCCTTACAAATTGACAGTTTAACATTTCATTTTGTCACAGGAACTTGCATGACATACAAGAAAAGCAGGCGGGTGCTTTCAAGCTTGTGAGGTGCTTGACTAAAAAGCACCTTTGGCCGAGCAATTTTCAGAAGATGTCTGTTGCCAGGGCTGTTGCGATCTTTTCTCCTCAGGTAAAGAGTGCATAAATGTTTATTTTAGAAGAAACTCAGAGAAAAATATGATTTCACCCCAAGCATGTGGTGATGGTTATCCCACTCATAATCACCTGTATTATAATTTTATTCTAGGTAACATCTGTGCTCAGGTTTTTACTAAAACATGCACAGCAGCTCGGTTTCCATGGGTTCGACGACTCCCTGCCAACCATTGAGTTCATGGAACTTGTTTATAAATGGTTTACTCTCCACAACATTAAGAGCACCTCATTGTTCTGGATGAGTAGAGACGCTCTGAGAATGCCCTTCTATGGTCCAGATGACGAAAGGTATCCATGAACTACTTCTAATTGTCATTTATCTTCCATTTGTGTGAAAACATGAATGGTCCCATTTTCTTTATATGCACAGTTTTGTATTAGGTATTCTTTGCTATTAAAATGTAAGCTTGAAACCTTTGTAGTTTGTCCGTAGGCCAAGTGCCACTTTCTAACTGATCTCATTGCTCATACTTTTATCATGCAGGCTCCTCTGGCTTGAAAATGAGTGCCTCATCTATTTGACTTATGGAAAGAGAGTAACGCACACATTCTAGACTTTTTGTCAGAAGAAACTTATGAGGCCCTGAGAGTGACAACTATGTCAACTGTTCTCTGCACCAGGCATCTTCTTGGGCGCGGATTTCATTTTGTCCTTACAGGAAAGTTTTCCAGTGATGATGTGGAATCCCTGTTTTCCACCATACGACAGCTAAATGGCTCCAATGACCAAACCGATGCCTACGCAGCACTGTCGTCACTACAGAAGATCTTAGTAACGGGCTGCATTCATTCATCTCCAAGTGGCAATGTGGGAAGCGTTATAGGTTCTATTGGGGAGGCAACCAAACTCGCCCCTCAACCTGCAGCTGCTGCACCACCTGACAAGGACATTAAGAAGCTTCTGCTCCCTTACCTTACAGCATTGGAGCGCTTCCGAAGTGGGTTTGCACCATTTATTATTTACGAATACCTATCCCTCACAAACATTTCAGTAATGAGATGCATGTTTTGAAGATACAGAGGAGTTGATCCAAAAGTTTTAGTGCTTGTGTGGAAAGGTGACGTGCAGCCACATCAAAATGAAAAGTTCTAAATCGCAGTCATGAGTTCCTTAACCAGGCCCGTAGCCAGGAATTTTTTTCGGGGGGGGGGGGGGGGGGCACTTGTTGAAAACCTTGGCTATTTGAGAAAAACACCTATTTTTATTATTTATTTTTGGTCTTCACCAAAATTTTGGGAGGGCGGGGGGAGGGGGGGGGCTTGGTTGCTACTGTATGACACATTTACAAATTATTGCACTTTGCTTAGATGGTACCACAATTATAGATGCTACTACTTAATCACTTATTTTAATTGTATTGCCATTCTCTAAATTCTTTCTTTCATTCTCTCAGGTCCTCCTACTCAAAGCTTGCGTGCCAGCACACTGGCACTAATAGCTGGTTTTCTAGTGAGAGCTGTCCAGGATAACATCTGCTGCGAAGGCTGCCTTATGAAAATACAGGCACCCAAATCAAGCTCTACAACAACTGCTCTAATTGCAGGAATCGACAGGGGAGGACTCTCATGCCCCTCATTGCCATTTGTTGGATTTGTAAGCGTCCTCGAGGGTGCAGCCTCTAAAGCAGCTGCGATCCTTGTGAAAGGGCAAAAACCCTTACAGAAGTTTTCAAGCATAGTGATCCCTTCACTTCTAAAAAATTCCTTGTTTGCATGCACTATGAATGATAGTGGGTTACACAGAGCAGCTCTCTTGAATTTAATTTTGCGAAAATTTATGAGGCCTTTCTTGGCAAACTATGCCAATAATTTAACCGAGGCACATTCAAAGAGAAAGCTCCTCAACAGGAAGCCTTTGTCGCGAAAAGTTTTTGAAAGTTTGAAGTTCTTTTTCCTTGTAACAGCCACATAGAATTGCTGTATGCTCATGCACATCTTGGCTGCTGACCTTCTTTTGAATACAGATAGCAGGGGAGTTTGTTTTTCCAGTGTCATTTTAGCCTTATGAAACAAGACATGCCTGAACAAGACATCAAGAATGTGCGGTCCACACTTCCTAGTCTTCTGACTTGGGTATCATTCTTTATATTGGGTTCATCTTTTTTCTCTTTTTTTTTGTCTTGCCACGTAATCTTAACTTTTTCGGTTTTCTTTAACCCCCAAGTTTCTGCACTATATATTTGTACTGGTACAATGCAGTGGCTCTACACTTTGTTTTTGGGATGGCAGCATGTTGCTAGTCATAATTTTTCAAGGTTTCAGAATTTGTGGATTTGATCACATGAATGCAATCAATTGTGGGGCAAGCTTTTCTAAAGCCAACTTGCTTCCTTCATTGATTAAAGTGCAGCGCTTTCCTTATCCTGAACCTTCGTGAATATATTGCTGAGAGTTTAGTAGAATAATATGGGCACTTTTCCAGCTAAGGCATACATTCGAGATCTTGAGACATTCTGCAATATTTAGTGGAGAGCAGAGTGGATCAGAGAATAAACAGGGGTAGCTCACATCTATCTTTAATAGAAAAAAGTAGAGCTGCGCAGGCAACGTAGTGCACAGGACCTATAACCAACGTGCAGCGAGAGCAACGGAGTGGATATCGAGGGATGGCTAACGCAGCCGAGTTAAACAGTTAGGTTGCTTGATGAAATTCAAGAGGTTCACTGGGATAAAATGGAATCGGCGTGTGCAAGACGGCGGCAAGCGATCATTGCGAGAGGTCTTTACCCTGCAGTGGACACATAATAGTCGGGTCATGATAATGACATAGGATATTTCACCCCTGCATTGATAATATTTGAAAGTTGTTGGATATCTGGGAGATTTTGTCTGGTCCCAAAAGCAGTGTTTACTGGATCCTAGGGCAGTATTTTGCTTTGAGCAGGGCTGAATTTTAGTTCTGCCAGTAGTTACTGCAGATGGAGTGCTGATGTGCTCTAGGTAAAGCAAGGGGTGCTAGGTAGTTTGTGCGTCTATATATTCCTTTATGTCCTTGGCTGTACTACTCACTTTTTTTACTAGAGGTATTGCTGATCACACTGTTAATGTTTTTGTGCACTAATAAATTGCATTTTGCAGGTATCAACATTTTCGTTGCAGATTAGATTTTCCTGTACTGGTATCTGATGCTTAAAAAGCAATGTTTGGACAAGCATATTGGTTACTACTGTTGCTGCAGTGTACCATTGTTCTGGGAATAAAACATTTGTTTGAACCATAAGCTTACTTGTCTGTTTCTTGCCATTTTACAGTGTGAATACAGCCACTTACAGCCACTTACAAATGGAAAATTCAAATTTTTAGCACTGAGCAAGCAATTTATGCACATTGTAGCGGTCATAAGGGACTTCTAAGCATTTTATTGTAAGGGTGAAGGCATCAGGTGAAATAAAATTTTGTTCTTCAATCCCATGCCACAGAGGCTTTTGATGTGTGTCGGTACAGCATGCATCACAGGCATGATGTGAACGAAACAATTGGCAGCTGAAGCATCAGGAATAGTACATTATTGGTGGGTAATAAATACCATGTGGGTTAATGCTAAAAGTTCGTGGAATAGAATAGGGACAGTGCAAAGTGATTTAGCCAGTTAGAACTCATGCTTTAGATTATAAATAAAACTCTCGTTTCTATACAACGTTATTCCCATGAGGGAAACGGAGCACGCTAGAGCTGTTGCCTCGTAATGCTTTGTATGTGGATGCTCCAGTAAAGGCGTGGGCGCACCGCCGATGTGAGACACGCGGAAATGCTAGCGACGCTCAAACAGAGGCCATAACTTCAATAAACTGTGTCTGATAATATATGAATGTACGAGAAATTGCTGTAACGTTGCGATAATCCGCCGGCTTTGTCGCACGCTTCCATCGTTAGACGTTCGCTAGACCCAAAGCACCCAGACGATAGCGCAACTGCGCCCCTCTGTCGTCATCCATGCACAGTATGACAACGATATGCTTGAAGGGTGACGTTCAGGTCATAAAAACTTATCGCATGCGTCGTTCGTACCGTATGTCGTCTTCATTTACGTCGTAGACACGTCGGTCTCAAGTTTCAACTTGTTACATGCAAGATCGCACCGGCTCGCCCACGAACGAATTATGTTTGCGGCTGCTAGACAGCGGTTAGGTGGGGCGCCGCTGCTTAAAATAAAGCGAGGAAATAAGGCTTACGTTCTCTGGGTTATGTGTCGCATATTGCTTTCGTTTGCCTGCACTTAGATGGGGACGCAAAAGCGCTCGCGCAAAGATTGAGGTCCGGTAACGAGCATCCCGAAGCCATCCACCACGGTGCTTCTCACAACCAGAATGTTGCTTCGAGACGTTAAATCAGTGGATTGCTCGATCCACGCGTTAGAAACTAGAACAATGAGAGGAACGCGCACACACGAGGGCACCACAACGGTCGTGCGTCGTCTGCTATGGGGGTAAGTGGTGGCGGCATCTGGCGGTACCTCCGGTCCCTACACGCCAATTTTTAGCTCCATACGCCTCCGTAGGGATGGCGCCGGTGAGCAGGTCGTAAGTTTATAGAGGAGGTCGTGGCTCAAGCCACGACCTCCTCTATAAACTTAGAGGAGGTCGTGGCTCAAGCAGCCAATAGCGAAATACCGGAAAAGACAAAGACTACATAGGTGCACGTGACCCTGCCCGAGTCACGTATGCGCAACAAGAAATAACGCAATGTTTATTAAGCATGCGCATATAAAAAATGCTGCAAGGCAATAATAAACACTTTCCGTTCCATTACACAACAATATATCTTATTTTTAAATTGGAAACCACTCGCTACGCGGTTTTCTTGGTGCGAGTTGACGGCCTCATGCCAGCAACAGTGGAATTCGCTCGCCGAAGCCGTCGCGTAAATGAGGTTTGCCTGCGCTAGCGACTGATCGCGCGACGCCGATCTACGTCGCGTCGCTCGTCGCTGTCGCGTGCATTTTCGCGCTTATGGAGTTTGGGCTTTAAGCTTATGTTCTTCGGTACTTGAAAGGATACTTACATGGAGCTTGTTAGTAGTGGTATCAGACATACAAAATTTGGCAAGGTTCCATTTGGCGTTGCATAGGTGGTTGCCAGACTGGAAAGGTGGTTGTTGCCAGACTGCCGCTAAATATGGCAGAAAAGTTTTTCTGTGGTTGTGGCTTCTCCGCAAGAGTTTGGTGCTATCCGCGGTGCACTTCGGTGCGGAGCCTAGCAGAAGTCGAGCGCGGTGCTGCTGTGCAATTAAGAGGCCGTTTCAATTCCGTTTTAATTAACGGAAGGAACCGAGCCTAGCAGAAGTCGAGCGCGGTGCTGCCGTGCAATTAAGAGGCCGTTTCAATTCCGTTTTATTTAACGGAAGGAACCGAGCCTAGCAGAAGTCGAGCGCGGCGCTGCTGCGCAATTAAGAGGCCGTTTTAATTAACGGAATAAACCTCCCATTACAGAAGTCGAGGCGCGTTCTCTTGCTGTGTACGCAGCTGTGCGATTAAGATATCGCGTCTCAGTATTAGGGATTACGGGGAAAACTGATTAGAGTCGCAGGAGGGGATGCGCTGCCCCCCTTCGCCTTTACTTTTCTTTTTTTTCTCAGCTGATCGTGTCGCGTCGACCGCGCGCTACGACGGGGGACGCTACGCTTCCGCGGATAGCACCAAACTCTTACAAAAAAGCCACAACTACAGGAGAAAACTTTTCTGCCAAATTTAGCGGCAGCCTGGCAACAACCACCCCAAAGTCTGGCAACAAACTTATGCAACGCCAAATGGAACCTTGCCCAAAATTTATATTTAGCTTCTTATTGTGCTTATTCTAGAAGTCATGTGCTCTTTATGGCTTCACAAGCCATAATAGTAGTGACAGGCCTGGTTTACCATTGCTCTTTCCCAAGCGTGTTGCAGAGACCACTTTATTGTTTAAGGAATCAAGCATTTCATTACTTATGTCACAGTAGTGCATCACACTCTTGTGCTACCGGTGAAGTACTATATTTGTGTGAATGATTGCTGGTCATGAACATGGCATCATACCTCTCATGCGGCATATGTTATGCCATCAAAACTGTTTTTTGGGCGAGTTTGTTTGTTGTAGAGCAAGAGAATAACAGTGTGAAAACGCACCCACAAGACATGGACACACAGGTACTTACTTTCAGCTGATCTTTAATGGCAAAGTGAAACACATTGTATATGCCTGAGTGAAGCATGAGAAAAAGGAGGAGGATGGGTAACGAGGTTTTATAGAGTGCAGCACCAATGATGCAAAATGCCAGCCAAGGAATGAATGATCTCAAGAGACGCGTGCTCGTTGATTTTTTTCTTTTGAAATTTAAGAACCGACAGCCGCATTCAGCAGATGAAACTCGACATCGAAGGGGGCAAGAAGTGGGGCACTAATGCACTTGTTATCAAGTTACTTAATATGATACGCTACTAAAATGATATGTGCTGTCCTGTCATCACTCCTAACTAGAATTGTCGTCTCTTCAAACCGGGCCACACTTCCTGTGCACTTACTAACATGCACAATGAAATGTGCGTACTTGTCATCTAACTTTTCCAATTTTTGTGCATGCTCAGCGAAACGGTCATTGACTCAGCGCCCAATTTCTACAACGTGGGGTACACCACTTTAATGTTCAACTGTAGTAGCGTATTCCATTGCCATGTCATGTGGGATGTTCTACTTTGGAGAAACTGAGCGGTGTGTCAGTGACTGTTAAGGAGAGCATGCACGAAAATTCCAAAAGCTAGATGGTAAGTGCAGAGGAGATGTGGCCCGGTCGGAAGAAACAATTACAAACCCTTTGAATCCGCCCTTGACAGGAATCCTAAGACTAGGTCGCGGAGGACGTTTTAGGTTCAGCAAGTGCTGAGGACTAATGCCACCAGAGCCAGTCTGTTTTGTTAATTTGCAGTTTTGTGATAGTTTT